CTACACGGCTGAAGAAAAATATATTATAATATTTATATTCGATACAGTATATAGGTACACTATACAGTATAGGTATGAATGTGCAACCAAAGTAAATAAGTAAGTCAAGTTCTTGAAAAAAACTGAAAAAGATCACAAGTCATAATACTTTACTTATCCTACACAATTTATAGGATAAGTAGTATTATCAATATTTAATATTATAATGCTATCATATATTATACAGACTTCATGGTGTCATCCCATTGGTTTTATTTTAGTCAGTATAACATCGTATTTAACAATTTAAGTACCATTCAAGTATTAGTATTAGTATCGTAGTTAATTTTTTGACAAATTATTTATTACATTGGAGAGCAAAAATCATTGTGATTATTTATATCAGTGGTTCTCAAACTTTTGGTGAACACAGACCCCCTAAATGGAATACTTTTAGAAATCGTGGCCCCCAACCAATTTTAATTCGAATACCTTTATTTTTTTTACAAAATATCTGATGTTATTATAATAATTTTTTTATACTAATTTTATATAACAAATCACATAAGTAGCTACATAAAAATACAAACATTCATAATTATTTTTCATAAAAATACAATATTTTATGTTTAGATAGAGCCACCTTGGACCCCTGACACGAGTGCCGTATACCCCCGGGAGGCCAGGGACCATAGTTTAAGAACCACTGATTTATAGTACGATATTATTAGTTTACTTAAATTCTATAAGCTTGATACAAAACTGACATGTTTGTTTTCGCGATTCTTTAAAATTGTAGAAAACCAATTATAGAGATAACTTATGTAAATATTTTAAAAGTTTAATAATTAATTTTCATTAAGTTGTATTCAATCGGTTGTTTAAGTTTTAAGACTTGAGCAGAATATGGTTGGATGAAAAGTACCTATATTAGATTAGTTCGTGAGAGGGTATGAATGATAAATAACACCGCCATGACACTCCTTGTATATTTAGTATAACAAAATTAGGTGGTTTTTAAAAAAAAAAAATATGCCGTGTATTATTTATTTATTTTTGATAGACGATTCCGAGTAGGTTATTAATTAAAAATTATTAACTTGCAAAATATTTAGGTTATTTTACAGTTCCTATAGTATTATATTTATGTATAATATTATAATAATTCCCATAAAAAATCAAGACGTCCAAACGACGTCACCAGGCATGATTATCATATTTTATACTATAAAGCATCATTATAATATTATTCATCACAAAATTTGATATGCTGTTTACCAGAGTTTTTCCAAGATAAGCTCCGTGAACGACTAACGGACAGCTGGTGCGGCGCAGTATACTATATTACTACAAAACGCGGTTAGAGACAAAAAAATTCCCAACGTTCGTGGTACCAATGCTTACCTAAGTTGATATTCTCGCTTAAGCAGAGTATATTTTAGAAAATCGATTTCTGGTTTTCGGTGTGAACCGTAGGCCATAGCTACCGTAACGTAATGCTGCACTGATGGCTGGACGCGAAGTAATAAGTGTACAAACCGTTCAGCATCCACAACGGTCGTTGACGTTTTATTATAATTACATTGTTATGGTAATAACATCTACGCCCGATGACTTTGTATTTAGTTATCCTCTTGTCCCTCATTTCCACCCATCTCTCTCATCCCCACCTGGACTTCGCCGGCGGCGGTTTTAATCCGTTGGTATACGCTGTTAATTTACTTCGGTTTTGCTGTAGCCGTAGGTACCTACTGGCGATGGCCGCCGCAACCACACGCCATCACCGGTAACTGATGTAAATATATGTACCGGAATTAATCTTACACAACACTGCTCATAATATTATAATATTGGGGTACCACTGGATCACCTTAATTTCTGACATATTTGGTAGTACCTACATCAAGGATTATAAAACAGAATCGTGAACCGGACTATGAAACTATAGAGGTATGGGTCGTGGTTTACAGTGCAGGATAGATTATCAAAAAATAAGTATAAGGATGACAAGAACTAGAGCAATAAAGAAAAATATTAAAGTTTCATGAGTGAATAATATTTTCCAAAAACCTGTGTATACTTAATATTATATTGAATGTTTGCCGTTAAAACAATCACTCTGTATATTGTGTACTATACCTAAACATTATAAATTTATATTTTATTATATAATATTTAAAGTTACATTTGTTCAATTAAATGTGTTGAAAGTCACCGGTAAATAATAGTATCGTAGTGAACGTAGACATACTTGTCGATATGTGGTTATAGGTACACTGCAGGCGATTGTCGACATTCATATAGTTGGTGGTTAGCAAGGGAATCTATTATAACAATAACCAAACTGTAATTGTAATAATAATAATAATAATAATGATATGTAAATAAATAAACAATTTAGGTAAATTGAAATGTCACCGTACATCAAATAATATCTATTAAAACCCTTAGAATGTAGGGTCCTAACTCCTAAACACTCTTAGAATCGCTGCGATTTTCGCAGATTTCACGCTCGGCGAGGGAAGAGGAAATTAAGCAAGAGTATGAAATACCTCCGCAAATCGATTTCGCACGAATTTCACGACAACTATACGGAGCGTTAAAGTTGTTCAATTAATGTTCTCAATATTTCCATCACAATGGCCTGAGAAAATAAAAAATACTATTAAATTTTATATAACATCCCTGCGGATAACGATCCTTATAACGTGTTCGGACTTGCGTGTGTTAACGAAATTTCCTCCGCGCAAAAGACTCACGCGTACGAAATAGTATATATATTTTTATTATTGTTATTCTATTGTTTTTGTTGCTTTTGTTGTTGTTATTGTTGAAGCGAAATGCAGAGGCGCCCTAGGAGATCGAACAATGTCGGCTGTGCGATCATTTTTGGCCATCATAACCACCGAAGTTCGGCCCGGAGCGTCGTTTTTACGGCTCTATGGTCTCGCAGTAGAACCTTTTTCGGGGCCCACGAATCGTATTATATTACCACCGCTGGCACACGACATGGTGTTATAATAACAAAATGCCAAAAATAATAACATTACACATGTTTAGTATATAAAATAACAATATGACGTACAGTTTAAAGCACCATAAAATATTTGAACACAGGCTTTCCATCCGAATCACACGCCATGATCCTATCGCGGGTCATCGAACGCCGAACATGAAGTAAAATAAATGTCATAGCATATACATACAATCGTCAATGTGCATCAGAGTTGATTCGATTTCATCAATCGTATTAAATAATTAATGTAAATTGAAAAGGCGTCTATACGCACATAAATCCCGAATCAACTTGATGCGAATAATAATTGCAATTAAAGGTGGTAATATGCGAATGTGATGCGACTCGACACTATACGTTATGAGCGAATGAACAACCTAAATATAATGTTATATTATAACCATATAGCCCAATGGAACTTAGTCAGTTAACAAGTGTATTATCAATGAGCGATAATACCTACAATAATTGAATAATCACATCTATTAATGTGTCATGACTGCGTCTTTACCTTTGCTACAGTTCCTTGTAATTATAAACGACGGCAATAATACACGAAGTATAACGAATTTAACGACTTTAACGTCGTTAACGTACAATGAAAACCTAATTTTTGTAAGTTTTATAATATTTTTGGATATTGAGAGGAGCGATGAATATATTGATTTTACAATAATATTTTTTTTTTTGTGTGTGTCTGTATTAGTTGAAATAATGATTTGATTTCCAACTTTGAGAATGGTTTGTGATAGAAAATTGGTTCTATTAGGTTCTTTTGAAATGTCAAATTTAAAATTACCAGTATTTTTCAAAATAGTCGGAAAACAATAAGGAAAAACGGGATCTAATACACTTTACTACTTTTTAACACGTTCAAAAACGTGAAGACTTTTCACCAACCGTTAATATCTAAATTTACATACCTAGATGATAACATTTTAAAATATATTGACTTTTTTTGGAGCTATTGATATTGTAGAGATATTTAACATTTTAAATTTTCGATTCTGATCGAAGCGATGAATGTATTGACTTTACAATTATGTGAATGTTTTTTTTTAGTTTTTAATTTGTGTGTCTGCCCCATCCGTTTGGGGCAGTAAAACTACTTCGATTTTCTTTAACAGTCTCTTGTTAGATGGAAAAGTGAATCTAGTTGGTACATTGGGGAGTTCAAAATTTAAAACTCCAAATAGTTTTCAAAAGCGTTTTCATTTTTTTTTTTTTATAAATAGTCTGAATTCAAATTCGGACGAAATAAGATTTAAATAAAGAATAACGATTGTGGTTATTTTGTTGTAATTTAAAAATATTATTCCTGCTACCTACCTACTTAAAACTTTTGAAGTATATTATTATATATTTTAGAGTTTTAGACACATAATGATATTTTTAAATGTTATTTATTCGGCAAAAGTTAATTTAGCTTACTATTGTAACCTACTGTATTACTAATAGTAAAATAAATTACATTAATAGCAATAATATCATAAAATATACTTACAATATAGGATGACAGACTGTCTTCGCTCTGAATCGTTTTTCGTATGCAATGATTTATCACTGAATTAAAATGTAACACATCCGTTACAGTGATCCACTCGACACCTGTTTACACAGCATAATAGCAATACCCACTTCCCCACCTTTTTTTTTATCATTACAATTTAATTTTAAAAGCGTAATTCTGAAAAATAATATCAATCTTATAAAATATACACTAAATTAGTCAAAACGTTTAAAGTTTGCAAACATACAAATCCTGAACACAATAAAAAATATGTAGACGGAATAATAATATAGCTTGTTTAAACAGTTTTAAAATAATGGCAACCAGAGATTCATTAATTTTTAATTATTTAAAATCAACATAATTATTATCAACGTTGTTTTAATTTACGAAACTTTGAAACTTTGTCTTTAATAATGCGTTAAGACGTTAAAAATATAATAACAGTAAATAGAGCGTATTGTGACTGTTCGACGCCTACAGCGAAGCACACGAATGACGGCCAGAAGGTGCCCAAACGACATCCTTGATTCAATGTCACCTGCTGCCACCAGTCAGCATCAATCAGAGGCATCTATCGTCTTCTCGCCAAACATTTTGTTACCAGTTTACCACCCTAATTATTTGGGACGAAAAAACAGCACAACATTGATTTTGAGACAAGGCCTCTCCAGTGCCGACAGGAACGAGCTACGACGACTTTTTCGAGGTTGTTTTGCTGCTGCTGTGGCTGCTGACTTTACTGTAGTCGTCGCTGGCTCCAGCCAGTCGCCTTAACTTTCGGCCAAGACTATAATAGATAGTTATAACTTTCTGAGCACTCCTGAGATACAACGGTTTCGGCGGAAGGTGCCATCTATAGTCTTTGGATCTGCATTTATAATTTCTGTAGAGACTTCTTCAAATTCTACCAACTTGTCCCGAAACTCTCGGTATAACAATCCATGGTATATTCATTTCTAATGATACCATACTATCGTCACGTGAAATAGACGACGACAGTTCGTCATTCGGATACAGAGATGTGGGTGGGCGGCAAATTGAATGACCTCTTAAAAGCCGTCACCAGTTTTAAGTCTTCGGTCAGCTCGTCCAACACCTTGAAATCTGTCAAAGTCAATGTCATCGTCATCGGTTGTTGGTCAAGGACCTCACTGACAGCATAGACAATTTTCAGTCTCACGGTCATCAACTGTGTATGCGTCATCTTCCGTCGGTTATGCTTCATCGTCCGTCATTTAGGCGTTGTCTTTCGACGAATGACAGCATCGGCCATGGGTGTGGAACTCGAACTGCTGCAAGCTCCCAACAGGATAATCGTCCTGGCGTAGCATCGTTGTATTGTTTTGTAAAACTTTCCACATTTTTTGATTTTTATGTGGTTGAATTTCCCTATTTTTTCATACCTTACGTAAGATTAGAAAAATAATTAGATTATATAATATAAATAATAAATTCAGAAATTAAATATTATATCCGACGAAAAGACTATAATTCGAGAAATAGAATCGTCACAAAATGTAAACCGATTCAAAATTTGTATTAGAACGTATGAATAAACAACAATACACAATAATATATAACAATAATTTGTTTCTTATCACTTAGAATAATTTTCATCTTAACATTTGAGGACTTTAAATAATTTCATTAGTTTATTTACTTTAATACCGTACTCAGACCTAATTTATTTATTGACACTGGATCGAGTACCAGTCAATATCGCAACATACGCAAGACAATTTTCAAAATATTTATATTAATTTTATGCTATTCATATTTCATACCACTATTGTTATCAGTGGCTCTTTGAGTAATAAATAAAAAATCTTTTAAATCAAAATACATTTTTGATTTAACTTTCTTCAACACTTTATTTAGATATAGGTAAATACGGAAAACAATACAATTAATGGGAACATATATTATTAAGTTGTATTTTATATAAACATATTATATTGAGCATATTTTTCATACTATGTTTATTTATTGAATAGATTAATACCTATTTTTATATTTGTTATGAATATAGTTGTAGCTTAAATGATTAGGTTACCTACATGTGAACCTTTACAAGTGAAAATTGTGAGAAACCACAAAAAAAGATATAACAAAAGTAAAAAATAGATAAACATTTGTCGTTTTAGATTCTGAGCGGAGCGATGAATGTATTGGTTTTACAATGATGTATGTTTTTATATTTTTGATATGAAATTACATATTAAAAAACCTAGAATAACTATTTTAGTTATTTTGTTGTGATTGAATAATATTATTCGTGGGTACTTGAAACTTCTAAAGTGTACTATTATATATCTATGATAGTATCACGGTTTTTGTTGATGTATAACGCGTCATAAGTATCTAATGGATATTGTGATATGATTAATTTGGAATTTATTATAGGTACCTATTATAGGTCAATTTTTGTTTAATACCATAGATATGTATATAATATGTCTTATACATAGACTGACATACCGTCACCGCTCAGAATCGTTTTTCTTATACAATGATATTATATCATTGAATTCAAATTTAATACCATCCATTATACAGTGACCCACTTGTAACCTACTGTACAGCAGAGCGACACCCACTTGCCCACCTTTTTTCAATTTATTTTCAATATTCTGTACAGGATTCCTATTAGCCATTACTATCCAAAGAACGAAATTTTTGATCGATTATATTGTCCTGATGATATTTTTCTAAGTAATTAACCGTCAATATAATGCTCCAAAAGCTAATTGTATTAACACGTACAGTAGCCAATTATAGGTACCTAAAAATGTAAAGTCTTGCGGAAGGAAATGCTTGTAAATGCTTTTGGTATCTACGTTTAACAAAATATATTGCTTCGTATCTTTTTAACATAGGTAGAATATTATAATATTTAAGCAAAACATAGTGTTTAAGTGAAAACCAATGTTTAAGATACAAATTACGAGAAAACGCTTTTAAATGGAATAGTTTATGAAACTTCGAACAGACGTCATGAATTCTCTATATAATAACATAAAAACATAAATTAATAACGTTAATAACATTGTTAATCAATTAATAGAAATTTAATTGTGTATATTGTATATTGTATATTGTCTATATATATATCTATAAGTAAATATAATTATTTTTCAGATATATTGCACATAAAATATGTATAATATTTCTTATAAAATAAAGTAATTAAGAAAAAAGTACAAATACAAAACAGTTACATTAGTACATAAACGATTTTTTTTTTTAGGAAGGATGATTAAACTTTTTTTTAAGTAATCAAACAAAATAAATTATTATTTAAAATTTTAAAATTGAAATATTGTGTTCTCTTCGCTAATTATTTTCCTTGTCCTTATCCTTGTACCATTTATATGGAATATAATATGATTATTTAGCATCCACATTATGAAGTTGTTTTATTAGTTATTACTTATTACAATATTTTAAATGGGAAATCATGAATTAGATAATTTTTGAATTTGAATAAAATGACAAATATACGAATCACAAATAACACAATTAAATAATGTGGATGTCACATAATAATATTGTATATTCATTTTGTAAATAATTAAAAATGTTGTATTTAATGTTTTCTTTGTTTAACTTTTAGTTCAATGGATATTATAATAAAAAAACTTTTTGATACAATTATAAATTTCATTATCTGGACAAACATTTAATGAAATATAAATGTATTTTACGTAATAATGTATACTTAAATTATTATTAGAATAATGGATACTACTTAATAATACATTTACATTATTTATACTTAAATTATAATACACTGTACACATAAAGGGAGAGAATTTTTAAATCTTTACGAATTTCGTTACCTATTATTTTCTATAACAGCTTATAACTTTTAAAAACAATAATTATAACTTTTAAAAACAATAATTATATATAATTATGACAATAATTATGTAAATAAGCACCATCCGGCATCCATTACCATTTAATTTACAAATATTTTACGAAATGTAAAATTCTATATATCCCGTTCCCATATTATAATGGATAAAATTCAGGTGCATTATACATGAACTACAATCATATTACATTAATGTGGTGATATTTTACACGATTTTTGTGAAATATTATAAAATAGTCAAAGATCGAAATAATTGTCAATTTTGTTCGTATTATGATTTCTGATATGATGTATAAAACATTAATATTATAATAAATAAATGTTATATAACTAATACTACAATAGGTTTTGTGACTATCGTAAAAAAAACCAAGTCAACGATTTAACAATACATGCTTCGCAAAAGTTTTAAAAATATTTATTTTTTGTTTTATAACAATTTGTTTTTAATAAGTGTAAATCGTAAATTTATGTTTTGCAATATGACATCGCGTTGTAGACTTGGATTACCCAACGTCTAAATTCCCCATCTGTTAACAATGATTAATTTTAATGACTCATATAGTATGGAATATAGATAGTTAACGATCAATAAGAATAACAACAGCACAGAATAGTTTTTTTGATTGTGCATAGCATATAACATGATAGTGTTTGCTATCTGATATTAAATTAGCAACGTGTAGGCGCATATATATATTTTTAACTTATTTTTTTTTGTTTCATTAATGATTTATCTAACAAAGAATTTAAACATTTCCATTCTATTTAAATTTAAAGTATTCCAATTTTATATCCAGTACATATAATTTCTAGTGTGAGATTTAATATTTATTAATACAAAATCTTCGATTTTCATAGGAACACATATACCACACTTTTCACAAGCAGCCATTTTTAAATGGATTCATATAATATAATAATTATTGTGGGTAAGTTTTTATCTTATGTATTGTGTATTATAATTTTTTTTCATTTTAATAATAATATGTCAATTTTTTTATTTAATTTATTGTTTATAGTTAAAGACTTAAAGTTTACTTCTAGTTATAAAGTAAAACTATTACATCTTGTGTAATACAATTATAAAAATATTATATTCATCTTCCAGGCCCATATTATTCATTCATGTAATTATTTCTATCAAATATTATAATTTAAAGTATCGTGTGCCTATAATCATACGATATCAATAATATTAATTTAAATGATTTAAACTTAATTACCAACTAGAATGAATATTATAAATATTAAAATAACTAACAATGTATTGAATAACCAAACAGTTATTGTTTATTTTGTGATCATAAAAAAAGAGATATTATTGCACATGCATACATATACTTCTAATATTATACAACCACCAACAATGTTGTCATAATATGGGAAACTGTTAAATACAATTATTTTGTATTTATTTATTTAGTTATCTATTTATAAGGTGTACTGTAACATATTTTTGTATTCCTCACATTATTGATTGAGGAGATAACTATATATTAAATAACTTTCATACATTAAATAGACAAAATCAAAGGGCAGTTGTGACGTTTACGAATAATATGATTTAAATTTAATTAATATTATGTGTTAAAAAAAAATATAGGTTTATATATATATTTGGAACATTTTACAATTTTTTTGTGTTAAATAACAGAGTATACAAAGTACAATAATAATAATAAAGTGCTAAATAAAACATCGCATACATTAAACGCACTCAAGTAGTATACATATAAGTTAATGTAAAAATCTGTCACAGTTCTTACGTTGGGCGATGATAAAGTAAATGTTTCCTCCAAGTCTTTACACTTTATTGTAAGAAGCTGAAACACAATAATTGAACATAGAAAAAAAACAATATATTATAATGAATGATTGGATGTATTTATTTTTCACAATTTATGGGCATTATATTGTATTTTAATGAATTGTATATTGAAATTCATACAATAATTTTAAGCAAAAATTGATCATAATATATTGCACAAGGTAGCTGTTGTAGCCAGTTGTAGGTATACGAGAATCATAATATATTATAGTGAGTTAAACTGTTCCAAAAACAATTTATAATATTATATGCATGTTATTGTAAATTAATAGTATTGATCTAAACATGCCAAGAATATGTACGACTTTTAAAATAGGTACTTAATATTATCTTTAGAACTTCTTGTACATCTGAAAAATGTATAATTCCCCGCTGAATAATCATACAAATAAAATTAATTGTTCAAAATGAAACTATGATCAGATGTAATGTACGCTGTAAGTTGTATTGCATTGTTTAATATAGATAGGTAGTACTTACATAATTTATATGTATAATATTTTGAAATTTTAAATATCATTCAAATTGTCTTATCTAGAAAATAATTAATCATTGAAAAGGTTTGTGTACAAAATTGAGATATTTTTTATGGGATAAAGGTATAATGACGTATTACCTATATTGTAATAACATTATATAATATTATAATGAACAATTATTGAAATTTTAAATGTTTGAAAGAATTTGTTATAACTGTGTTCGAAAAATCTTAGTCTGGCCGTACATGGCAATCCAGGACAGGAATCCAGACAATACCATAACTTATAAGTTCAAATGCTTTTGTAAAAAGTTTATAAGTAATATTCTTCGAACAGACGAAAAAAACACAGCAACACCTTTAACTCTACTTCCGTTTAATATTATTATTATAAGACCTAAGTAAAACGCTTTGTTCAATCCTTACGCATCAAATCACATAATACATATTTATACAGATTCTTTTTAGTTTGTCAATTCTACCTATAGGTCTTAAAAAATCTATAAAAATCCAAATTCTTTACCTAGTCTATAATTACACCTACTATTTTTTTTCTCACTCAAAATAAACTTCGCTTATCATGCGATAATGGTATTATACTATTTAGAGAATATAAAAATATCGTCGTCGATCGATATTTAAACACATAAACCTTAAACTACCTATATTATTAATTATATACTTGCTATTCACCATCCGATGATTAAGAGGTATAGACCTCTTAATCATTGGATATTTAACGATTTTATTACGCCCAACGGTGCCACGGGAAAACGAAAATTCATACAACCGTCGTCGTGTTTTTATATACCACACTTTTGTTCGTTTACACAGCATTACTAGTTGAAACATTTTTTTCCCCTCGACGTAATGTATCGGAAATGCATTGAACCGCGCACCGTCGGCGCTGCGGCGCGATGATAAAAGGCCAATCCGACCGCCGCCGGTTCGCAGACTGCAACCGAGGGCTTTATTTATTTATTTATTTATACGTTTGACGTTTGTCGGATTTTTGTTTTTATTTCCGTTGGATGTATTTCGACCCTTATTTTTAAACAACGCGACGAGCAAATGGTCTATTAACTAGCCGGCCGGTTTTAATAGAAACTATTCCGCCGCTGAGATAAAATAATATTATATTATTTATATCATGCGTCCCCCCGTCGTGATGCACAGAACTCAGCTCATTCGATTAACTATATATATACAGTGGCCCGTTAGGCTGAGTCAGACGTGTAAGGTTAGCCCGATTCCGACTTCACATTGTCCGTCTGACTCGTATAATGTTGTGTGTGTTGTTAATTATTAATTTTAAACGTTTTGTTCAAACTCTTCCAGTGCACAGGTACGCTAACTTACTGCACACTTTCTCGCGGCCACCCGGAAGCCGTTAATACATTATTGTGGAAACTAAAATGCTGTGATTATATTAAGCCATCCTCCCACCTATAATAATTTTCCCTATACTATATTTTAATAAAAATGTTTAAGCCATACACCCGAATTGCTAAATTCTTCATCTTTCAAAATGTTTCAACAATATCGTTCTCGATTTTGTCCATAGATCATTCCTGCTTTTAATTTTAATGTTTACCGATGATCCTGTTTATCTTTTACCAGGTGGGTTTTATTTTTACATCCTAGAGTTACTCATTTCTTTTCTAATTACCTAATATCCACTGCATCTTGATACACTGCGAAATGATTCAAAATAATCAAATCACTTAAAACAATATCTATTTTATGGCTCCGGTTCACTTTCCCGCCTTCAAGATCTCTCCAATGTCTACTTATATCTAAATCACAACTTTCTACTTATATTACCAAGATCAAACGTATCTTACGTTCTATAACCGAGACAGGCTTTTATATTACATTTCTTTGGGTTCTTTGGGTACCATACACATTACTAGTAACGAATTCACCGACAAACAAGCCATATTCACAACATATTCCGGGCCGATGTTATGCATATTCTGGTGAGATAAATCCTGAAGTTAGACAACGACATTTTAATGTCTCCTTCTATCATCTCCGCTTTGGCACACTTTATTTTCCCCTTATATCCCTGCTCTTTATTGTCACTGTTCGACACAATCCACAACAACCCTGTGATACGAGACATAACTTATCTTATCTTCAACTATTCCAAATGACCCCTTAACATACCTATGATTATTTTTTATCTTCTAACATTCCCTTAAATATTCGAAAAATGATCTTAACCCTAAAACTCTATCATTATATATTAAGTATATTATTATTATTTTATCAATTATTTTGTATTTAGTAAACAATTTGCGATATCCAAAACGACCATTTTAAATCTTGTAAATTAAATGCAATTTTTTAATTGAAAGTAATTGTAAAACCAAGCTTAGATTTAAAAAAAATGTGTACAAGTGTTGCACAACGAAAACCACTATTATTTTTATAACAATAGTACAATAAACGTGATTATGATCTAAAAAAAATTCAATACAATACTTAATGTGTATATACTTTATTGTTACAAATTTCCACGAGTTCTCTTGCAAAATATCGATCAAGGATTGTTCATGTTTTAAATTACTGATAAAATACAATTATGGTTGTTTTTTGGCTGTATAAAGGTGCTACAACTAAAAGTTAAACAGTAGTTTTTAAATAGTACCATTAAACTTATCGATAGGTAGGTAATAATTATAATAAATAGCATTGCAAGCTCATAAGAAAACTACTTCCTCGAAAATAATTTTCTTATATTGTTCTGGAATATTGTTATAAAATATTCAATACAGTATTAAGATAAATGTTTTGCTTTACTTACAAACGTGAGTACATTTTGAAATTCTTTTTACATGGTATTATGGAATACAATCCTCTGGTTCTAAAAAAGATACATTATTATTAATATGACGATCACCCACATAAAATATTCTATTATTTTTCTATTTATTTATAATATGTTTGGAAACAAGATGTATTGTTTTAATCTAAACCAAAAATATGAACTTAAATATAGAATATAGATATAATATAGACTTGTGTATTTATACAGAGTACGATATATCGTATTATATTTATATATTTATCTGATCATATATTTGTATCCACATCAATAAATTCGATTATAATATTATTATACATGAAACGAAAAAAAAAACAGTTGAATAGGGTATGAGACAATCATGTCTATTCCAGAAGTAAAAAAAAAATTCATTGATTTTAATATTATGTTGATATTTTCATTATATTCAATATCACATGGGGTTAGAAAAATATTTATGGTACCTAGTGACTAGTGAGATACCGGGAATCGGGATATTCGATGTTTACCATATTGAATTTACAGACATAACATTTAGCACCGTTGAAAATTTAGAAACTCTTTCACGATAAAACTATACACCAAATTAAGTTAAATTATTAATGTGCATATCATCAAAATTTCCAGAATTACCTTGAAGTGCAACAGGATTTTTAACAGGATATTATTTGTAAATAATATGTATAATTATTATTTGAGTAAAAACACTGGAATGTTTAAATATAAAAACATTTAAATGTACAGCTATTTATATAAATGAACGTTATCATCTCCAAAGAAAACAATTATTAACACAAATAATGTTTAATTAACATGTATGAGTACCTATAAAACTTTTATTGAATATTTGATGATTTATAGGCTAAACCAGCGATTCCCGAACTTTTACGACTTTTAGGAAAAAGTTTCGTGTTTCGTGGAACCCCACTGCCTGTAAAATGAATATTTTATAGCAATATTATACTAGTATAACTATTATTTACGTGAACTTTTTTTTCCAAATATAATATCAAATAATTTTCTCAATATTCAAGCATACAACTGGCGCAACCCTTGAGGCTGTCCCATGGAACCCTTGGGTTCCGCAGAACACACTTTGGGAATCGCAGGACTAAACCATAAACTTCTACAAAATAAAAAATCTTAATGACTATATTAAAAAATCTACATCTATAAGGTATAAAAATTCGGAACATATTCTGACAAGACAAAACATAAATGTATAATTCAGTTTATGAGATAAGAAACTAATGGTATAATAAAAGACCTTAAGTGTATAAATAAAAGAAAATGAGCTAAAAGAATCAAACTCAGACACCACAGTGGACGGAGGTATGTAGTTAACAAGAAAAAATGAAGGAGCAATAAATCACTTAAGAACAGGCTACGGACGGCGGTTGTATACCCTTCTCCACATAATGATACAAAAACTACCGATAAAATGTTTAACCGGTGAGGAAATTTGAGCTGTGAGCTAGAATATATGTATACCAACTTGAACTGTTGTAAAATCGATTATAACTTAAAAGTGAAAACCTTAACGATAAATGAACATAATAAACTACTCAGCCCAACTGAAACCATTGAATAAACCAATATTGGTATCTACTACGTGAGCCCAACTGTAGCCTATGAAATCTCCAAAACTCAAAATGTATTTAGGTCATGCAAATTATAGAAACTATACAAATGACCAATAGCTTGTCGGTAAAAATGTGTTAAATAGTTAATTAATTCTATTTATTATAATGAAGGTATAAACATAATATTAAACCTTAAACAAAAGCTGGCACGGTCAGTTTAAAAAGAACCTAGGTCGTGTTTCTGGGGAACAGAACAGATCAACTAAAAATGTGTATACTAATTACTAATGCAATGATCTATCAATGTATTAAAATAATATGTAAAACCACTTTAATGACTTTCCCAATATTTTAAGTAAATCTTATCTCACCTTTTTTTTTATTTTATCGTCAAAGTATATTTCATAGTATTATTATTTATTACAAATTGAGGCTGAGATTTTAATGCACAATAAAATCTTAATAAATACATTCAAAATCAAAAATAATGTTGGTTAAAATTTAATATATCCAATAAATATTATAAAATAAGCATTTAATTAATTCTAAAAATTCCTTTCTAGCCAAAATTTAAAATATATAAATAATGTATCAAGTTTTTTTATTGAAAAGAGAAAAATATATTCTTAATGTTCATATTAAATCATTTTAAAGACAAAAAGATTACTTCATTTAGGTATTTAGGTTGGAGCTTAAATATGATAAAAAAACGCACTTATTAAAGCCTGGGTAAAATAAAAAGTAATTCATAAAAGTTAGAAAGTCGTGACAAAAATACTGTTAAGAATACCGTAAAATGCAATAAAACTGAAAATGTCAAATGCGAAAACATTTAAATTAAAAGTTTCAATATTTAATTGTTATATAGTTAAAAGTTTGTGCTAGAAAAGCTATAGGTACCTTACAACAGGCAAAAATGCATTTGCTTCTAATCTATTTATCCCTATTAAAAATGAATAGTGAAAACACTAAACCATCACATCTTATGAGTTTTGACAAGTAGAGATTTTTTTTAGATAATTTGCTCATAAATTAAAAATAACATTTTTGACATTTTAACAGCTGTAGTCTAAAGTAATTGTTAAAAATATCTTAAAATTCAGCATTACAATATTAAGTTATGTCATTTTGATAGATATAAATTCCGCTTTAACTTGATGAAATGTGTAAATAATTTTGTCAATTCAGACAATTTATAAAAAAAATTATTTTTTGTAATGAAAAAACTTATGTAGGTAGTAGCATAACATAATATCCCTTATATATTAATATGATACAATGTTATATTTATTGTACAGTACGAATAAAAATCTTGAAAGCAAGGTATTATAGAAGATAGAATAAATTATTATTTAAGACTTAAGTTCAATATAGATTTTTTTTATCCGGCAGTGTTAGGAAACATTATGTAGTAAAACTTTTTCATATTTATAACGAATAAAAACACTGTCACCAAATTGCTGACTTTTCAATTACAAAATCCAAGAGGTTTATATTTTAAAATAAAATTATTTTAAAATTATTTTTTTCCTTTCTTTAATAATTCTTTCATTTATTTTTAAAACTGTAATATTTAAGTTTAAAAAAATGTCAATTTCAAATTTTGTCGACCGTCGCATAAAAATAAATACATTTTCGCTATTGTGATGTACCATTCTTCAGATCCACATATTCATTACAGTTAATTTCACTTTTCAATGAATACGCCAGGGAACAGAATAAAATCTTAAAAAACTCTGTGAACACCGTTACTTAATTATATGAATACAACTATTAAAAAATAGTTGTACTTTTGTAAATAAATATTGGAGATTTACGATGAAGATTATTAGATTACTAATATCAAACTCATATTGTTCTTCGGGAAAATCCATGAGATGGAATAATGTCGATCAATCGTGTACCTTGTGTAATTTTTATACTTCTCTAGGATAACACTTGTTATGATAATCATCTTTGGTAGGTATGAATACATTATTTCTATTATGATATCTCTAATACAATTTAGTTTATGAGACCGTTTTTCTTGTAAAACATCAGAATAATCTTGACTTTTGAAAATCAATATAGTCTAATAAAATTGTATTTTATTAATATTCTATATTATTTAAAACAAAACAAAAGTAATATGTAGTAACCATTAAAACTGGCCATTAAGCTTTGATAATATACTACATGCGTTTACATACTATTATTACGATAACACTGATCAAAAAACTTAATATTTTAACAAATTTAAAAGTTACATAGGTATTGTCCAAAAAAAATAAATATTTTTATGTATTACAAATCTGTAATTTTTACTCACGAATTTGGCATGTATATGTCCATATTAATAGTTGGTTCTTTGTCATCAACGATTTTTTTCTCGCAATCGCTTAACGTATGACACCGGTATGCCTTAAATTCACTTGAATTTTTCAACGAATCCTCCAAATAGTTTAGAACTAATACATGACCGCAAACTGAAAACATTTTATTATTTTAGTGTTTAAATATATATTGTGGTGAAATAAAAACTATTTAAAACACTGTAGTTGCGTTTTATAATTTATCTGCAGAGTAATGGTACATAACGGACCTGACGCGAAATTATTGTTATTAATTATAGCGTGTAAATAATATATAATATGATGTTCCACATTGCATTGTACAAGTTACAGCATCAATTTAACACAATGCTGCAATATTATAGTTATAATAATTTCGATATCCTAAAAAATATGTAATTTAGGTATATACAGTGTAACAGGAAGAGTAAGAAATAACTTTTGTTCTAATCAATATTTTATTTTTTAATAAAAAAACTAAAAAATGTGATTTAAATTTTTATTTGGAAAAATTCAAAATTACCTATTTGTTAATCTGTTTACAAGAACAATAATGATGGTAATAATATTTATCTAAGTCAAGTAGTGTATTTTTTAGAATTTTTTAAAATATCAATATTTTTTTGAGTAAATTAATTTAAAACGTAGGTAATAACTTTTTTTAAATATTATTTATTGTTATCATACCTTTAAGTAGCATCATTAAGTTATCTATCTATTATTATAGATACCTAGAGCATAGTTATGAGTTAGCGTGTTAGGTACATAACACAGGTTTTCAAGAGAACAGGCGGCGTAGTCGTTATTGATTTATTTATTTTTACGTTCAATATTTTTTCTCTGTATTCAGCACAAACACGCACATATTTATCATCACGGACATGTATCCATCGAGATTAATAACTGTACAAACGGTTCTTATCCGACAGTACAGATGCGATGCACCAATGGTTATATAGTTATACATCTATGCTATAGTCGCCGATAATGGTTTATATTGTGAGAATATTGTGATAGTTAATATTTATTTTTATTTTTGGAATATTGACTATAAAATCAATCGAATTGCCTTTAATATCAATAAATAATGGAGACACTCCTACAGAAATATATGTCCAATAAAATTGCATCGACCATGCCACAGTAAGTGGTTTCTAGTACCATCTATACGCATGTGTATAATACAATGATGTAGTACCTAAGCATTTCGGTAAATATAATTTAAAACATTTACTGAAATATTGAGTTTAAACGTATTTTTATTAAATATATCTACACATACGATAGTTGTAAAATATCAAATTATGTTTAAACTGCAAATGATCTTATACAATTTGAATATTAATTATACAGATAATTATTAAGCAAATGCGTTATAATCGGTATATCAAGACAGAATACGCATGCGTACCTATCATGTATTGTGTATGCTCGAGTATATTAGGTAAAACAGAACATTTTTATAGGGCAGTATTAATCTAATGTCTGCAATTAGTTTTTATAAAATTGTAATTATATATACGTTATTTTGATTACTGTTATAGAGCCAATCAATAGTGCAGGTGTACAGTGTATTTAGAGTACATCACTTTACAATATATAAATAATATTTTATATTTCCAATTATTTGTTTTTTTTTTTAATTAACATAACAAATTATATTTTTAATCCACGGAGTTGTATTAACTTAACACGACACTAAAATTAACGAACACATAAAATATGACTAAATACAACTTCTATTACTTCTTTTTAAAGTGATATACGAATTGTAACACAACATATTTTTACAGAGCTTTGTATCCGGTTTTCGACCTAGATAATCTGAGAATTTTGTTCTATATTATACTGCGTACGTAAACAGATGCGGTATGAATCGCACTGGAACGTTTGAGGCACAATGCTATAAGTTTTAATGATATTACAATCGGCACGTATACCCGGGCTTAAAATCGACAGCCGTAGCTCGTCGTTGTCGTCGTCTGTATAATAATTACCATGGTTCACGAACGAGAAATCACGTTACAAATCTCCGTCACGTATCCATTTTATGTGCCATCAAAGGCCCTCGTTCGTTATACAACACGCTCTAGCCAACACACACACACGCACACACACACACACACACACACACACACACACACACACACACACACACACACAATCGCGGGCGTCGTTTATAGGTACTAAATATTATGTATTTTATATCCGTTACACTTTGAAAAGAAAAATGTATTTATGATTCCATAAAAGTAAAACCAGACGACTCTACAGTCCGTTTTAACGGTTGTTAATATAATTATAGTTTTCAGTTAAATATATCAATGTTGATGAAAAGTCATATATCTACGATAAACAACGATTCCGTGTCCCCTGCAGTTTGGACGCATAAATTATAGATAGGTTATAGTATCACCATACAATATACATATAGTATCTTGTTCATAAATAATTCACGATTCAACCATAACAAATAGAAATTAATCGATACAGCTTGAAGATTTAATAAAATATTACCATAATGTTATAAAGACACGAGCGAGAAAACGAAGAATACAAATAATATTAATTCGAATGTCAGAGAGACATATTGTGACGTTTAAACTAATATAATATATCAATGACAACTGGTCCATAGGGTCTCCACCCGACTCCATCACGCTCTAAATACGTTAAACATAAGCAACTATATTATCCTTTCGACTTTTACATTTATTGAGTTAATACAAATAGTATATTCAAATATTTGAAAAGGCATTGAAAGAAATACTACTAAAAACCCTATAAATTTGAAAACGGTTTGATAGTCACTTTTATATTTACATCGTTTGCAATATGAATTTATACAACTGCCAATACTAGACCATTACAAAAAAACAAGTATTGTTTTATTAACAATTACATACCTGCATTATTAACTCTGTAAATTAGGAAATAACTCTAATTAATAAAAACTCACAAATAACTTTATTAACAACTTTCCGAAACCGTTTTCGAATTCGTAATGAATAAAATATATAGCCTATTGACAGGGTCGCGAAACACACTGTATAACTCAAACACACATGTTTGGTAATTCGTTCGAAACGACATTATCGGACAAACGTGTGAAATAAAAAAAAAATAAAAAAATACAATAATAATAAACTTTTGTCCCCTTTTACGACGTACAAAAGACGTATGGACTAAAGTTTCAATCAATATAAAAAAGCCGTTTCTGCAGAATGTCACCGATCGTTACCGCTATCCGAAATTGTTGACGCACCGCAACTTCCAGAGACCTACGAGTAATACTTATTGGCAGATATTCCGGATGCGACTGAGCAGGTCTACCGGAAGTTCAATTTGTCTGACGGTTGTGACGAGTGCATGTTGGATGCCATGGACGTGGGTTTACGGCAAAACGGACAGCCCGACGCTCTGGCACCCGATCAGATGCTGGGACAAGGGTGAACCATGTCCTTGGCCACCCACACGCCCACCTATAAAGGTCGTCTAACAGTTCCTGGGAAATGCCAAGGCAACCGGTTGAGAGCGCGGTTGACGACCCTGCTTCAAGGTGAGAACGTCTTGTGGATCGGGTTACGCTAGCACCCACATTGATGCCCGGTGCCCTGAGAAAAGAGATGCTCGATCACAAGGCTGTTGGACTGGCCGAGTTCAACGCAGTGTCGTATTTAGGTTTTTGTCATGGGGGGATATGATTTTATCAGGTAGCTAAGCTTTTAAAGCTAGAGGGTTTAAGTGAGTACTCCGAAAAATGTTGCATATTGTATACAGCCTATGGGGGGATTGATCCCCTTAATCTCCCCTCCGTAAATACGCCACTGGTTCCACGTGATCGGCAGCAGGCCTGGCTGCCGCTAGCGTTGACGTTTGGGTTCCTGGTCTGGCAAGCTGGGGCCCTAGGCGGGGGGCAGTCTGTGCTTTTGGACCAAAAGGTGTTTGACTGCGCGGACCCCGTGAGCCGAAGGCCGAGTGACAGGTGGCCCTGACCAACGCGGTCGTGGGCTCAGTGGCCGAGCTCAACGACGCTGTTTGTGGCCATGATGCCGGACACATGTGCCGTGCTCGTCGCCAAAGACGGCTATAACTGCTATTACGTGTAGGAATATTCAGCCACACCGTCATCAACACCAAATGGGATGCTTTCGACGAAAGCGTCCTTCGACCACCTGTTGACGGAGTACGACCGCCTGATCCCGAAATACCAGTAAGCAAATTTACAACGACTTGAGGCGAGTTTCGTTTGCGTTAACCACATTACCTATGGCGACTATGGTATTACATTATTATTATTGTTGTTGCTGTTGTTGTTGTTGTTATTATTATTATATTGTCTTATGCGCTAGGTCTTGCCGATCAATACGTCAGGGCTTAACATAATATTATTCTAAAAAGAATTATATATATTATTATTATAATTTTTAAATTCTAAAAAGCTTTATGAGTCGTGCTCAAACATTGATGCTCTAAAATTGTGCTAAATAAAAATAAGTACTCAATAACACAAACAAAAATTGTATTATTATTATTTAATAATTTTTTTTTTGTGTTAGGATTTGCAAGATTTTACATTGAAAACGATTGTAAGTTTATTTTAAATGTATAGATACATTTTATAATATTTTATTATGATTCTCTAATCCACACACACAACTGGCCTACAGCTGCATTTGATTTACATTAGATACGAGATTCGAAGTATTAATCATATTGTCGATCTTGAATCCCCCATAAAATCTTAAATCTTTATAATGTACTAAGTTTTCGATTATACTATTGTAACCTATGATGACATTAATAATGGTTTTAATCAGCAAACGATAACTGATAATCCCTAATAAATTATACAATCACGAAATATGACCTTAAAGTTTAAAAATGCTCAAGAAATTAAATATACAAATATTTAGAATAACAACTTTTAATATTTCATTCTTGAAGTAATTAGTTTAAATTATAGTATAGGTATATGCTAAAACTAAAAATGAATCCAAAAATGAAAATTGTAATTAATGTAACATATAGTTTAATCCCTTTACTCGGAACTTCGTGAACTTGAATATTTGTTAGGAAAGTAAATAGGACAAATCTGATTTGATACAAATGTAATCCGCGATGTTTGTACTCCCAAGTTTAAAA